GGATGGATGGAAGGGTGGATGGATGGATGGATGGATGGATGGATGGATGGATGGATGGATGGATGGATGAATGGATGGGCGGCTGTGACTGAGTGGTTAGAGCAGTCATCCTCCAATGCAAGAGTTGGGGGTTCGAATCCACCAGCAATCACATGCCGAAGTGTCCATGGGCAAGACACACTGAACCCCTCATTGCCTCTGATGTGTGTCCCATCAGTGTATGAATGTGATAAAGCACTGATTAGTCTCTTTAGAATTATTTGTTCTATTAGCTTTGTATAGATCTAGTAGAGTGCTGTATGAATGGGTAAATGAGGCACAGATTGTAGTGTAAAGCACTTTGAGTATCTTGGTTAGATAGAAAGGTGCTATATACTGTAAGTACAGTCCATTTACCATTTATGAGTGGGTGGATGAATGGTTGGTTGGATGTTGGATGGATGATGGTTGGGTGGATGGATGTTGGACGTTGGATGGATGGTTGGGTGGATGGATGGCTGTATAGATGGATGGATGGATGGTTGGATGTTGGCTGGATGGGTGGGTGGCTGGATGGATGGTTGGTTGGATGGATGGGTGGATGGTTGGATGGATGGATGATGATGGATGGATGGATACATTTTGACATATAAACAGTATAAGAGTAATGCTGTAGACACAAAAAAAACCTGTTTGCAGAAATTCTGAAAAGTTTAAACAACTCAATCAATAGCTCACAATCAATATTCAATCAATATTTTCCCCAGATTCCATCTTGACTGTATGATCACTGATATTAGATGCTACAGCGTACTTCCTGGCTGAGTTTGTCTGAAGCTGTGAAAGAGAAGCGAATGAAGACGTGACAGAAAGAAAACAGTAATAACTGCTGTCCTGCTCCGACACGTTTGGTGACAGAGACGTCTCTTCTAAGGATCATTCCTCGTGCATGTGTCAGAGTCACTGTGTTCATGAATAATGACAAGTATACTTCATGCATCAGTGGAAAAAACATTCCCTTGATGTTGAGAAAAGAAATATATTGTATTTTAAGAAAGGAATCATGTGGTTTACTGAGCAGTGATGGAGCTTCTGATTCCACGAACATGACCGGCTCCCCGCCGTTCTCGCTGAGTCACGCCGGTGTCGTCAGCTGCTGCTTTCACAGCTCACTGTGTCGGCCCCACATTCTCTCCTCTTCTGAGAGGAGCTCTTTGCATCCAGCCACACATTTTTCAGAGATAATCTTTTAGACAAAGGCTGACCATCTTTTGTTTTAACATGCAGAACATACGTTGATGCAGATCAGAGCAGCAAAAGGCCAACGATGAATGTTCTGGACCGGTGTCAGAGAGGAGGCTCAGCACGTCTTCGCAGCAGATGGAGACAGGAAGCCCTCGAGCTTTCTTAAGAGTTTTAGCTTTCAGTGAGGCCGGTCATCTGAAAACAGGTTGTTCTCTCAGGGGGAAAGGGTTCAGAAAGCAGCAAGTCAGCAAAGTGCTTTTGACACTGAGGCCTGCGGTGGAGACAGAGGCGCAGCGGACAATCATTTAAAGCTTCACAAGAGGAACTCAAAACAGAGGAAAAACATCTCATCCTAAACATCTCACTCAGGTGAAAAAATAAATCCAAGATTACAAGACTGTACCTAAAAGTTGGACTTTAGGAAATCCTGACCAAATCTAGAAAATGAAAGTGCAACTGGAAATTGAGAAAAAAAGTCTGTTCAGTTCTGAGCAGCGGCCTCCTGGGTCCAACACAGCTTTGGGAAGAACATAGATCTTGACAAATTCAAGAACTGCCGATGATCACTTCTGCTGACAATAATGTAGCCCGGTGCGACCTTTAAACCAGTCCCCAAATAAAAACCTCTTTCAAAGACAACAGAGCTCATACTGGTTTTATTCATTTGTAACAGAAGGAAACATCCATGCTGTAGATTATAAAACCTAAATGTTTAGCAGCTTACTCAGGTCAGTGGCTGTGCTGGAAAAAACAACCTAAGGAACAAATAAAAAGCAAATATCTAAATTCTTCATTTGATTTTTAGGAGGCTGCACAGCGGCCATGTTGGTTCTCACTGCTGTTGCAGGAGAATTCAGATGGGACATTTCTGTGTGGAGTTTACATGTTCTTCCTTGTGAAAGAAGAGTTTTCTTCTGATTCTCTGGATCAAATTCTTGCATGTTGTGTTAATTAGTGATTGACCCTAAATATGAGAGAGTGTATGGTTGTATGTCACTAAGTAGGCCTGTGATTGGCTGGTGGCCCAGAAAACACTGGAGGCACCAGATTTCCACGACCCTAAATTGGATCAAACAGGTATAACTAGACTTTCTGTCTGCTTTTTATGCAAACTGTTTGATTTGCCAACAGAGCCATGACATGTTTCAACCAAGCATGGTTCAGTAGATACTGTTAAAACAGCTGAACAGAGCAGGTGTGTGTCTGAGTCTGGACCTTTTAAAGATACCGTGTGACAAACAAGGAATGCATGTTGAACCCATCATGGTCCTGCTCCGTGGGCTGCCTCAGGACTGGGACTCCACAAGTCCCACCCATCGAGAAAGATTGTTTCTTTATTGTTGCTGAGGTTCGGGAAAGAGGGTAGAAAATAGGGATGCACGATATTCTCGGCATGGTATTGGTATCGGCTGATATAAGCAATAAAGTTAATTATTGGACATCGACCATTCCATCAAAATAACACAGCGATAT